CAGCTGCAGCCTGGCGCGCGCCGGCTCGCTGTCGGCGAAGCGCGCGCCCTCCAGCACGCGCAGCGCGAACACGGGCTCGCGCGGCGCCACCAGGCCGCGCCCCATCAGCTCCGCGCAGCAGCCGCGCAAGATCTCGTACGCGGCTCGTGCCGACGGAGGGCCCACGCGTCGCTTGATATCGGCGCGATCCACGAACGCCACGTCAATGGCGCCCGTCACGTTGGAAGTAGTCAGCACGAGCGCGTTGGGCCGCCGCCGCAGCCGATCCAGTTGAGTGAGAAGCGCGTTCACGGCGCGGATAGAGTCGGACGGCTCAAGGCCTGAGAGGGCGGCGCGACGCGCGTGCGCCAACGATTCCACTTCGTCAACGAGCACACAGGCTAACAGCCTCCGGTCGGAGACGATCTCATCGAGCCGCTCGAACAGTCTTGCTACTAACTTCCCACTTTCTGCGAACCACTTGGAAAATAGGCCATGTGCATTTATTTCTACAAGACGAGCCCTCGGAAATCGATCGGCAAGACGCACTGATAGTTTTTGAGCAAGAGCACGACATAAGCTAGTTTTTCCAGTACCAGGCGGACCATGCAACAACACTACTCGGTTCCAACCAATTATGTTAGGGTCTACACCCCGATCAGCAAACTCAAACGCAGTTTCCACAAATCGAACGGTATCCTCTTTTAATTTGGTATCATAAATGAGACTATCCCACAGTCCATGAAACTCTTGACTGGGCAATGACCAAACATCAGCTGCAGCAAACTCTTCCCCTGTACTGGCATCGGTCATTGTGTCAGTTTCAGCACCAAACGCATCCAGTTTAAAGACATGATACTTTAGTTCAGTTTCAGTCACTAGAACTTCATTATCGTGTTCTATATCACAAAACGTTATCATTTCAACATGTTCTTTCAGCTCGGCATTGTCTTCTAGATCTGATCCAGATAATATAACGCCAGGTGTCAAGGATATAAAATTCATTAAGAAACTACGCACAAGTTCCATAACGTAGTCCTTACTAGCTCGGCTTTGAGATTTTTGTACAACTTCAACGTGTAATGGAGGATTCATGGCAATAAATTTAATTTATTACTGACCTATAAAATTCACGATAAATATATCAATTTAATTATAATTTTAATATCAAATTGATCAGATCAAACATTTCATGCATGTCTTATAATGAGAACATTACACTTCAATTTAAACTGTAATTCAGTCTGTTTTGATGTGGTCTTTAAATTATTGAACAATGATCAAACGAACTTGAAAATAAAAATGTAACACAACACTGAATAACTACAACCACCAGACAAACGAAACGAAGCTGCGGTTTAATCAATAATCTACACTAAAATAATCAATATATGATTTGAAAACACAATCCATACACAGTAAATACAAGTAACTGACAGAGTCTTTGAATTTTTAAAATTTTCATTTCAGTTCATTTGACACTGTTTTTGACATTGATAGCCCTCCTTTCTGGAACTATGCACTCTTTACTCTTTGGTCGAGTTGAACTTGCCCCACAGACCATACTAAATCTATGACTTGCCCTCGATAATATTAAAACGGATGATAATTAATAAATCATTAATTAAATTAAGTCCCATAGAAATAGGCGTACGCCATGGTGACCCTATTTCGCCAAAGATATTCTCTGCGGTGTTAGAAATGATATTTAGGAGAATGGACTGGGATCATTTTGGACTTAACATTAACGGAGAGAAATTGAGTCATTTGAAATTCGCCGACGATTTAATACTATTCGCTGAATGTCCAAAGATGCTGGAAAAAATGCTACAACAACTGTCAGACGAAAGCGCAAATGCAGGTCTGACAATGAACTTAAATAAGACGAAATTAATGACCAATTCTCTATTATCAGAGGAGATCAGAATAAACGGTCAACAATTAGAATACGTCGACGAATACATTTATTTGGGACAAATGGTATCATCAACAGGAAACATAGAGAAATAAATCGAAAGAAGAATAGCAAATACTTGGAGGAGATTTTGGTCACTGAGTGAAATCATGAAAAATAAAGAGATGCCAATGGCGGAGAAGCGGAAAGTATTCAATGTCTGCATCTTACCATGTCTAACATATGCGTGTCAAACCTGGGTCTTAATCGAACAACAGCAAAATAAAATAAAAATTTGTCAAAATGGGATAGAGAGAAGCGTGTTGGGATTAAGAAGAAGCGATAAAGTACAATTAAAAAGAATAAAAGAACAAACCAAGTTCGGGAAAGTCCAAACCATATGCAGGAAAATGAAATGGCAATGGACAGGTCATATGGCGAGAGAAAAGAAAGAATAATGAACCAAAATAATAACTGAATGGTACCCGAGAGGAAATACAAGAAGCAGAGGAAGACAAAATAAGCGATGGGAGGACGATATCAAGAAAATAGCAGGTCCAGAATGGATACGCATAGCACAAGACAGGGACAAATGGAAAGCCTTAGAGGAGGCCTTTGTCGAAAGACAAGCTGTTAATAATAAAGAAAACCATCAGAATGCCGAGTAGATTTTAAGTTTAAGATTTTAGTTAAATTTCATATTTTTAAATGTTTTGTTAAATCAGTTGTTAAACAGCAATAAAGGCTTATATTATTATTATTATAATTAAATTAAGGGTATAATTTTTGATGTCTTTTTTTCTTACTTTCTTTTTATTCAATACTTTTGTTCTAATGAATCATTATGAAGTAGTACAACAGTTAAGGGAACTCCTCGGCGGACCTGTAGCTACCTTGTGTTTGGTTTTGATAATTTGTATTGATGAGGACTTTACACCTAGATGGGGGGAGGGGGGATAGTCAGGTCTAATGATGAAGTAGTATGATAGCTAAGGGAAGTAATCGTAGTAATTGGCGTTCCTTAGTCTCTGCCTACCCCCATGGGAGACAGGCGTGAAGTTATGTATGTATGTATGGAACTTCTCAATGGTTAAGAGTAGCCACCCGGTGTTTGTTGTTGTAGCCACCCCATGTTTTGCCGGGATAAAAATACCCTATTATTTAATTTTAATCCAGACTTTTAACTTTACGTCTGCAAAAATCAAAGCAATCGGTTTAGTAGTTACGGTGTGAAAGGGGAACAAACAAACAAACAAACTCACTTTCCAATTTATAATATTAGTAAGGATTTGTTGACGTTTCAAAAGTACCAAATTATGGTTTAAATGTACCAAATTATGGTTGAAATAAATGCTTTTGAGTTTGAGTTTGAAAATAAAATTATAAACAGCTTAATAATGTTAGGTATCTATTACGGTTTTAATGAATAATTTTATTTAAAACTTGTTATATTGAGTAATGCGCATAATATGTGTTTTTGGCTTCACTTTAGGTAATGTTGGATCTGCTTATCTATGTTATGTCTGTGGTCCGAATTGTTTTCTGCCAAGCAGTAATATTCTCTAGAAAGCCATTATTTGCTCATCATACCAAAGCCATTATTTGCTCATCATAGACAAAACCTCAATTTTTTGTTTTCGTTGGCATAATTCTAGCCACAGACCTACTATAATAATACTAAATCTATGGCATTAGCATATATTTGACATTGACAACTGTTTCTGAAATAATTTCTGTCTGTTTGATAGATGCGACGACTTCAGTCGAAGTTGGTATTGATTCAGTGGATAAAAGCATAACTTTAATCTGAACATAATAATAAAGCAAAATTTAATTTATTTAGTAGTGTTTGACTAATAGTGATGTCATACCATTTAAATTTGTGAACTTTATTAGAGTTGGTGGAGGTGGAGCAGTGTGGGGAGTGACCCGTAGTACGGGTGGCCGAAGGGCGTGCGCGAGGTGTTCCCTGTAACAAAATGTGGCACTAGAAACGTTGCAGTGCAGGCTTGAGGCTGCAGAGCGGCGCGATGGCGGCCGACACAGCAGTGGCGGCTAGCCCCGAGGAGACACTCGAGTCGCTGCTGCGTGAAGCCGAAGCACTAAAGCAGAAATTAGAAGAGGAGCGTCAAAAGCTCAATGATGTATCTCGTGAGTGTCACATGTAGACTGGTGTCAGCCACTGACCGCCACGCCTATTCAGCAGAGCTGCCCACTTGTGCCTGTTCTTGAGAGTTAAACATCTCTGGCCCCTCAGAGCCTGTGGGAAACCATTCTGTTCTGATGTTTAGTTCATGTTGTTGCAACAGCATGGCAGTGTGTTGTATAATTATCTCAATAAGCTTGCAGCTTTGTCTATGTTTTCAGGATAAAAGTAACATAAGTGTTATCAATTCAGTAGTTATTGTGTGGAAGAGTAATAAAATATACATGTACAATGTACATTCTCACAAACTTCCTGTCAGTGTTTTCCAATGAATGTATTTAATACTAGCTGACCAGGCACATTGCGCTCAAAATTATTCTTCTCACTTTAAATCTTCCCTGGACTTCCACAAATATTTTAAGGTAGAATTACCCAAATCGATTCAACCCTTCTCGATTTTTAGCGAGACTAATGAACTGAAATTCACTTTAATTTATTTACATAGATTTGGCCCACCAACAACTGTTACACTTAGATCAGGGCTGTCCAAACAATATACCCTCGCGGGCTTATTAAATTTCTTACAAATGCTGAAGGGCCAGAAAAATATTTTCAGTTGTATAATGACATTTAAACATTGTATTCTTTACTCACAGACAAAACTTGCATACAAATCATACACTGAATTTTATTATTGTTGTTTCACATAAGATGCAGATGTTAAGATTAAAAAGTGTGGGAGAGCCATGCTTCGGCACGAATAGGCCGGCTGGACCGGAGTGATACCACGGCCTCACAGAAAACCGACGTGAAGCGACACTTGCGTTGTGTTTCGTCGTGTGAGTGAGGTTACCGGAGGCCCAATTACCCTCCCCTTCGCCAATTTCCCCAATTCCTGAATCCCCAATGATCCTCAAACTCCTAATCCCCAAAAGGCCAGTAACGCACTTGTGTTCCAGGTGTCTATGGGCGACGCCGATTGCTTACCATCAGGTGATTCGTCAGCTTGATTACCGACTTATGCTTTAAAAAAAAAGAAAGTGTCGCGGCCTTTGTTTGGACAGCCCTGACTTAGATAAATCTGATAAATAACATACATTGTATCCCTTAGTAGCAATTACTTATAAGTGAACACCATATAATGTTAAATGCATTATAATATTTTAAATATAGTTCAATTGTAAAATATAAAACATTTAATAATAAAAAAGTAGGTTAGCCTTTTCATTATGGGCCAGTGAGTTGGAAGTTCATATTTTTATAGATTTTATGCATACTTTTATGAGTAAAAAGACTTTACAAATTTAGAAGCTGCAGACTAGCAGTCCAGATATGAGTTTTTGAAGTTTGCATATAGGCACTTCGAAAAATAACATGTGATTTAAAAAATACGCTACATAGTAGTAGTAAGTGTTAGAGAAGTGAACTTCAGAGCACTCCGACTTGAACAAATCCTGTCCGAGTCAGGGTGTCATTAAGTTCAGAAGGCTAAGATGGGCGCAAAGCGTAGCAGGACTCCCATTTTTTCCTCTGTGGTTTTGTTAAATTTCTGGGAAGTAGGAGCGCCGCTAAGCTGGGCTTCATTAACCATCTTGACTGGTTGGTACCGTTTCATCCTCGCCAACCTGTCTTCCAATGGGTGGAAATAGAGTCAAAATTGATGGAAATTAATGTGTCAGCCCAACCTAAACCCTAACTTGAGCTATGGATATCTCTGTGTTGGAGTGATGTTAGGTTTGAGGTCTACACATAAAAGTAACTTTTCTTGAATGGCAACCAAATCATGATCAAGGGTCAAATAGTTTAAAAATGTGACTAGCACTGCATATATGTCTGTCCCTCTCTAAGGGTATATTTTTGTTTTGAAGGTGGTTAATCTTTTGTGTGTTGCAGTGTCATGTGTAGCGGAACGACTGGAAACCATTGCTTTTCCCAATTTAAAACTGCGACGCATGCTGAAGGGCCACCAGTCCAAGGTGCTCTGCTCCGACTGGTCTCCTGATAAACGACACATTGTGTCCTCGTCCCAGGTAAACCCTTGCAATGCAATACATTATATTATTTTTATTTCAAGTTCAGACTATTAATTTCCCTTTTTTTAAGAAATCAGGTATCAACGTCTAAACACGATAATATTGGATATTGTGCAATCAGTGCAGTGCTGTGCGTGTTTACAAACATACAATTTCAGTCACACATGAGAGATAGACACGAAACAACAATTTCAGGATCACACAAAGTGACGCTTGGTGCGCGAATGGAACTCGTTAAAAATAGTTATTTAATTTTTTGAACCAATAGGCTCGGAGATAAGCATGTTCAAATAGTTGCTGACTGACGGCTGACGTTTGCTCTATACGGTATGCCGTATAATGGAATACAGTTCTAAAAGTGTCGATCATTGGTGTCGTGACTATCTGGAAACGACACTAGATTGAGTATAGTACAGATGTGTTTGTGTGCGCAGGATGGCAAGGTGATGGTATGGGACGCGTTCACGGCCACCAAGGAGCTGACCATCGCCATGCCGAGCACGTGGGTCATGGCGTGCGCCTACGCGCCGTCGGGCAGCCTGGTGGCGGCCGGCGGGCTGGACAACAAGGTGACGGTGTTCCCGCTGGCCGGCGGCGACGACGAGCCGGCCGCGCGCAAGCGCACCGTGGCCACGCACACGTCCTACATGTCGTGCTGTCTGTTCCCCAACACGGACCGCCAGATCCTCACGGGCAGCGGCGACGGCACCTGCGCGCTGTGGGACGTCGAGTCGGGCCAACTGCTGCAGAGCTTCCAGGCGCACGCCGCCGACGTCATGGCGCTGGACCTGGCGCCGTCCGACATGGGCGACACGTTCGTGTCGGGCGGCTGCGACCGCGCCGTGCTGGTCTGGGACATGCGCACGGGCCAGGCCGTGCAGGCCTTCGACACGCACGACTCCGACGTCAACAGCGTCAAGTACCATCCGTCGGGGGACTCGCTCGTCACCGGCTCCGACGACTCCTGCTGCCGCCTGTTCGACCTGCGCGCCGACCGCGAGGTGACTCACTCCGAACGATTCTGCTTTCTTCCTTCCGACCTTTATGCCTGGTGTACACGGGTAGAGCAAACAGTACATTTAAATGGCATACTACTTTACCAATATCAAGTACCCTACCAGTTTTAGTACAATAAGCGCCTTCATACCGTAAGAAGCAAACACGTAAGGATTTCCCATCTCGGGGTCAATGAACCACATTTTTGTTACCATCACTTTTGGCTTTTGGCTTTTAACCTGATTGATCAGGTTAAAAGCCAAAAAGTGCATTTTTCTCTAATTAATTGCTAACTAGCTTTTACCCGCCGCTTCGCTTGCGTCACAAAAGGATAAAAAGTAGCCTATGTGACATATACCAATACACACAGCGCCATCTATACCAATAATTTCGTTTTCTCTCTAGAATATCAAATTTTTCCGGTATAAAAAGTACCCTATTATTTAATCCAGACTTATAACTTTACGTCTGCAAAAATTCAAGGCAATCGGTTTAGTAGTTACGGCGTGAAAGCGGAACAAACAAACTCACTTTCCGATTTATAATATTAGTAAGGATTTTTACACCTTGTACAAACACGGCAGTGCAACAACCGCGCCGCATGCCCGTACATTCATAGTCAACGAGTACGTTGACTATGAATGTACGGGCATGTAGTATACATTGCAGCTCTTCTCGTCATCGTCATGGTTCCTACATCCAGCCGTCCATACACAATTTTATACTTGATTTATTTGATTACTTAGAAATGTATGTAGCAAGAACCCATAATTGATTAAAATAATGTATATGTGGCAAGGTAGAGTATACGAAGTATATCCCAGATTCAATAATTGTTTTCGATGAACCCATCAGCGAGTAATAAAAAAGCGCCAGTTTGTCATGATCTCGCTTTATATGATCCTTCCATAGTTTTACCAGTCAGTTTATACTGGTGGCCTCGAACAAAATCACATCGTGGTATAATCACCTCAGAAAATGTTGTAGGTTTTGGAAGTTTGCTTGTAATTCTCGTAAATGTGTCGTCCGTATTCTTCATCGCTTTCATTAGTGTCGGAACAAACATAGAATCAAACAAACATTACAATATTCACGCGCCCATAAACATTTTAATATTTTGCAGGCCCTGGACCCGTTCGGTTATGATTTAGACCAAAACCTCTTACACGGTATTATACATGGTGACTTGTAATACGACGTATTCCTCTCGGGAGGTGATAATACACCTAATTGCTTACAAAATTAGCCCTGAGGTCTCTGGTCCGAAAGTGGCTAGTTTCTGATACATTCAACATTTTCGGTTTTGGTGAAAAAATCCTGATCGAACTACAAAATAAAAAAAACTGGTTTGATTTAAGTGATTTTATTTTTAGTTTGTTGTCAATACATAAATACACATTTATTAATACTAATACTGGCAGAAATATCATTCATTTTAAAATAGCAAGTAAATTAGTATCAAATTTTGTTTTGAATCACTAATTTGGTCAATACATTACTGCATTTAGCTTAAAAAATTGATATTACACTAAGCATACAAAGTATTAGAAAAACTTCCTTGGTTTATTAGCTACCCAAAAATACTATATTATATATAAATGTCTCAAAATTGAATTCATAACTTTATGATAAGTTAAGTGTAAAGGAAAATGGGCAATTTCAAAAACATCATTATTTACAAAATTTTGTTCAAAGTGACCTTCCCTATGATGAAAACGTGCTCGCACACTATATCAATGAATGAGGTTTAATTGTGTATCGGCGAGTAAATCAGATAGTTTCTGTTCTGTTCGTTTCTGCGTCTTTGTTTCAAGTTTCTTCCGAGATCCGGACTATACCCTTGCATGGTCTACCTTATTATAAAGCTGAGAAATTGTAGATATTTTATCAGACATCTGCAACTTAACAAATTACGGACATTTGAATAAGCTATCTGCCACAAAATTTGTCGGGTACTTATATGATGCTGGTGAAACAGCTAGACGCATTCTCTACTCGAGTCACAACGGTATGTCATGTGGCCGAGTGTAGCAATAATGTGGTTGTACAGGTGGCGCGGTACAGCAAGGAGAGCATCATCTTCGGCGTGAACTCGGTGGAGTGGTCGGTGAGCGGGCGCCTCGTGTTCGCGGGCTACAGCGACTACACGGCCTGCGCCTGGGACGCCCTGCGCGGCGCGCGCGTCTGCGTCCTCTGCGGCCACGAGCACCGCGTCACGCGCGTCCAGCTGGCGCCCGACGGCACCGCGCTGTCCACCGCCTCCTGGGACGCCACCATACGCATCTGGGCGTAGGCGCCGGCACCGCGCCACGCGCGTCCAGCTGGCGCCCGACGGCACCGCGCTGTCCACCGCCTCCTGGGACGCCACCATACGCATCTGGGCGTAGGCGCCGGCACCGCGCCACGCGCGTCCAGCTGGCGCCCGACGGCACCGCGCTGTCCACCGCCTCCTGGGACGCCACCATACGCATCTGGGCGTAGGCGCCGGCACCGCGCCACGCGCGTCCAGCTGGCGCCCGACGGCACCGCGCTGTCCACCGCCTCCTGGGACGCCACCATACGCATCTGGGCGTAGGCGCCGGCACCGCGCCACGCGCGTCCAGCTGGCGCCCGACGGCACCGCGCTGTCCACCGCCTCCTGGGACGCCACCATACGCATCTGGGCGTAGGCGCCGGCACCGCGCCACGCGCGTCCAGCTGGCGCCCGACGGCACCGCGCTGTCCACCGCCTCCTGGGACGCCACCATACGCATCTGGGCGTAGGCGCCGGCACCGCGCCACGCGCGTCCAGCTGGCGCCCGACGGCACCGCGCTGTCCACCGCCTCCTGGGACGCCACCATACGCATCTGGGCGTAGGCGCCGGCACCGCGCCACGCGCGTCCAGCTGGCGCCCGACGGCACCGCGCTGTCCACCGCCTCCTGGGACGCCACCATACGCATCTGGGCGTAGGCGCCGGCACCGCGCCACGCGCGTCCAGCTGGCGCCCGACGGCACCGCGCTGTCCACCGCCTCCTGGGACGCCACCATACGCATCTGGGCGTAGGCGCCGGCACCGCGCCACGCGCGTCCAGCTGGCGCCCGACGGCACCGCGCTGTCCACCGCCTCCTGGGACGCCACCATACGCATCTGGGCGTAGGCGCCGGCACCGCGCCACGCGCGTCCAGCTGGCGCCCGACGGCACCGCGCTGTCCACCGCCTCCTGGGACGCCACCATACGCATCTGGGCGTAGGCGCCGGCACCGCGCCACGCGCGTCCAGCTGGCGCCCGACAGTAGAGCGGATATTAAGCTGCATTTCTTTAAACTTCACTAGTATGGTTCCAAATACCTTGTGCGTAGATTTAGTCGCGTATACCTATAGCACTAGTCGAAGATAGCATGATATAAATAATTATTTATAAAGATTTATCTAAGTAATGTATGTAAATATTGGTTATGAAGCACGTCGAGGGGTGATGTTAATTTTGCGAATATTTATTTTTAGACTTAGACATCTCAAGTATCATAGTAAAGTAAGGGCGGCCCGGCTCCGTCCGTCCAACAGCTCAGTGTTAGTCTCCTACTTATCAATAAATTTGAATGTTATTAACTTGTTTTATTTCCCCACTGAGAGTTGTGCCTGGCGGTTAGTGTAACAGTGTACTGTGTCCAGTGCCAGTGAATGAGCCAATGACTCGCCTGGTCGAGTGATCTCACAGTGACTGCTGGACATGGGTCTCTGGCTCGATTCCTGAGGCGGCGAAATGATAAGTTGGAGTAATTTTCGGTATTTCAGTACTAATCGTTTACAATAATAGTAAGGAATACTTATTCAGAATTACTATGATTTTATATCTTGGTTTATTGAGTAAGAAGTGTTATTATTTTTTAGTTTCTTTATTGTAATTTCAAAAGACTGTCCGCCTTTTTTCAATGTCCTTGGACTGGAGAAATTATCCAACTTGCTGTTACACGGACCCTTTTTTTTAGGGGGGTAAATCATCCAATGGCTTCTCCCGCCCGGGTGAGGCGAGAGGGAGTGTTAGACTCGTAACTGACTAAAAACCACCCCGTTCCTACTCGTGCACTTCGAACCGGAGCCCGGTAACCCATTAAGTCCTCAGCGATTCCGTATCGGCGTCAGCCCTAATGGACCTCATCTGTAGCGGTCTAATGGCTCTTTGATGCGCGCGTGGAACGCGACGCGCTCTACGCTCCGGGTTACATGGACCCTTGGGGTATACATGTTCTGGGTGCATGGATCTTACAACTCTTTACGGTTCACTCATTACGATACTTGTTTTTTTTTATAAGTATCTAATGTTTTTAAGGCATCTCATTTCTTTTTATATAGACCTAAAATTTTTGTTTTGATGGTTTTTTGTTTTTAAGAAATATTTAGAAATACCTATACAAAACAAGTGTAAAATGGATAAAGAGAATCACAATATTTTACTGAAACATTTTTTTTTCAGCCACCTGCAGAGGTGGCAGATGCCCTGTGCTGTGCTCTTCAATCATTAAACTAACCGCCAAACGGAGTCAATTTCCGGTGACTCCTACTTTCCGGAATGTATCCGTACTGATAGCCGATCATCTTGAGCTTCTTGGCGTAACTCTGACGCCCACTCTCAACTTTGGCTCCTATATACAGTCACAAAAGCACAACTGGCTGGTAGGAAGTTGGGTGTCCTATGGAGGGTGAGACGGTACTTCACGCCGAAACAATTGCTGGGCCTGTACCAAGCACACGTTCGGTCCTGTATGGAGTACTGCTCTCATCTTTGGGACGGGTCGGCCAAATATCAGCTGGACGCGTTAGAGCACATTGAAAGGCGTGCCAAGAGGCTCATCGAAGCCTCGAACACAGGCGTAAGGTTGCAAGCCTTTCGGTTTTCTACCGGATACATTTCGGTGAGTGTGCGAGGGAATTGCACAACTTGAATCCTCCTAGTCCTTTCCATCATCGTACCACAAGACAATCGGCGAAGCGTCACCGATTCATGGTAGATGTTCCGCCCACACGCACGAAGCGCTTCGCTTCAAGCTTCCTTGTGCGTACTGCTAAAGAGTGGAATTCTTTGCCAGAGTCTGTATTTCCCGAAGGGTATAACCTGCGAGTCTTCAAGGCCCGAGTGAATAGGTTGCTTATGGGACGACGCGCTCCATCGTAGACCAATCATCGCTTACCACCGGCGAGATAACGTCGTCCCATCAAATATAAAAAAAAAATTGTCTATGCATTACCTATTTAATTAGTTCCCACTTAGTTAAGTGTGTAAGTGGGAACTAACAAGTGATTTGATTGAAACTATGGCAACACTCAATGAAAGTACGTTGAATCGTTTTTTGTTAAAACAGTGCGATACAGGTTTTGATACTTTTGAGTAAAATCCAACACTAATACCTAATCGGGAAAATTAAGATGTCTGTAATATTGAATAGTGGTATTTATTTTCTGTTTCAGTAATATTTGAGGCGTATTGTTAACCAGCATGTTATAAATAATGGCAAATTGGAAACACCTGAGAATAAACGACCTGGCCGTCCTAAAACAACTAGATATTTAGATATTATGCAATTCGTCAAATGATCTTTTACAAATTTATTATATCGAAAAGGTCTGTAACCAACTTCAAGATAACATCACCTTTTTATTTTGGTTTGTGTTGTAAAGTGTCTTAAATTATTTTAATTAAAATCAATTATTTGGATTTGACATCATTTTGCTGGTGTTATCAACAATAAATAAATATATAAGATTATTTTGTTAGAACGTCTTTTATTTGAAAGACGCGACGCGAGGTCTAGCCTCGGTTTAGTCCTATATTATAAGGAGATCATTTCGGCAATTTAATAAGGATCTAATAATCGTCTGTTTATTTGAATTTAGATTCACCAGTAAAAATGTTATCGGTAATTCATCTTAATTTATCGTGTAAACAAAATAATGCGCTAGTATCAATATTCTCTCGTCGCGCTATAGGGGTTGCTATGTGAACGACTGTGGTGCCCTCATTAATTTTCACATTATGATTATGTGTTTTGTACAAATAATAAAATACGACTGCAAAATTACACGAAAATACAAACATGTTCTTTGAAAGAACATTACATTAAAAGCAAAAAGAAACAATTTTGATAAGGATATAAAGACTCGGCGTCCAACCTCCTCATAAAGTTTTTAAAACAACATCTGTCTGCGCCAAAGTGCGCCATTTTACCTAATTCACTCACAATGAAATCATTCATTGTTCTGCTACTGTGCTAGCGGACGAGTCGCATCGATCTATTGGAATTTCGAATATAGACAGTGCCTTAGCTGTTTTTCTTAGTATTATCTTTTCGTTAAAAACAGTGCGAGTTAAATTTGTCGTCATGCTACGGCAACTGTTATTACCTCCGGTATTGCTATTTATAGCTCTCGGAGTTCCCTCAAACGCACAAAGTAAGTAATCTTAATTCTAATTGTTTTAGTATCGACCTCGACACTCCACAGTAGGTACGCTGTTATAGTGACAGAGTCCCTAGATGTATCGTATGTCGTACGGTCTGGTACGACACCTTAGTACTGTTGAAATATTGAATACCTAATCTAATCTATGAACAAAATTCCACTTTTCTTCGTCCGTTCCGTTAGTTCGCGCATGTATTTGCATTGTACTTTAGTTTGACGCAGACATGAGACAGTCGATAAATACGCGATCCCGTCGCAGCTGATGGGCGACGGCTGTCGTATGATGTCACGATGAGTAATTTGTTTCGACCTAATTACGGTTAATTAAAAATTATCAAATATTTAGTAGGTAGATGTATTGCGGCGGTACGCAGGGCCAGTTCCTCTATTCATATCTATAATTACTGTATTCGTATTTTGATTAGATCAAGGACTAGTTGTCATGTAGCTACATACAGTAAGCGAAGCGATACAAGGCGATGCTTGGTAGAATAGCTTCTTTCATTGGATGTTGTCACTTATATACAACATATTATGACAAATTTAATCAGTGAATATCCTTACTATAGTCAGAATTTTAATTAGATTCCAGATTTGACAATAGCTACTGTCATTTTGTGAAATAATGATACCACATATAATAGTGTAGTGATGAACACAAAAATCGATAAACAATCAGTGTGTATGTTTTATAATAAATGTTACAGAAAGTGACAGGATAGCGATAGCAATGACGGCGACAATTTATAAAATAACTTATTACCATAATACATACATCAGTTTTATTTGTCATGTTCCTACATGATTACATTTTTTATTTATTTCACACACAATTATAAAAGAAAAGTCTCAGATCGTTAATAATAATCGTCAAAACTAAATTATCGGTTCAGAAATATTTAATTTCCTAAAGTACTTAGTTTACGAGATTACAATAATTATAAAC